CAAGGGTTTCCTGACATTAGCTCAGGTTATATGGTCCCTCCTAGTAAGGAAGTATGCACCTACCGACAAAGCAAAATAGTCAACTTCATAAACGGGCGTTATGGTTTAGTTTGATTCATTAGAATTTCTGAACTTTACCCAACATAGCTTTTCAGAAGTGGGAGGCGGATGGAACTGTGCAAAATTTTTCTCAATTGGTGGTTATTTATTGCTTATTAGTGGACATCTTCAGTTGGAAAAATGCCCAACATTTGATAATCGATTGATCATTGGATAGTGACCAATGTCATGTGTCTCAGATCATTCTTAGTGCAGAACGAATTCTATCGACTAATTTGTAATGTGGTCACCAGTCTAGGTGACTCGACATCGCGTGCACTATTTTGAAATGTAAGGTGGCAGTTGGAGGTAGTCGACAGGAAACCATGGACGTCCCTCGACACTATAGATACACCTTGCTGACGAGTGTAAAGTAGCATGAAACCTAGGTCCAGGGTTTTCTGTTGACTGCGTTCACAACACTCAGTCAATAATTCAAAGCGACTTATGGTATTTTGTGATTAGTCAGTCAGTAACAACGTGGAATTTTGTGATTAGAATTTCCTACCATAGTTATTATAAAAAAAACTGATTACAGCAACTTATATTACTCATGTCTTTTACATTCACAGACAAGATACAGAATGAGATGACCACTTAATACATAAATCTTGGTACAGTTGGAGACCAGAATATGTATGAAGTGAAAAAAAGATATTGCAAGTACATCGATAAGGGTAAAGGAATATAGTGAGAAATAAGTGAAAAAGGGTAGTTCATAATAAGAGATATAGTTAAAAATGGAACCAAAAGTACTTTTCTTAGTTGATGGAGTTCCTCTAAATTGTATAAATGGTTTTGAAGCCCCCAAATGCCCTGGTACAGCCGAGAGTGGGGAGAGTTCGCTCTCCCTCTCGAAATGCTCTCACATGGCCAGCGAATATATAGCCTCTGCCAGGGAAGTCCTACTCACTGCCTTCTCACACCAGGGGTGTTGTTTAAGAAAGTGAGAGAACAAAAAGCGATTGTCCGGCGATTTAACCGGGTTGGTGGACAAGGCGAGTCCACCTAGGGGAGTTGGAAAACCCTGATTCCAAACCATTGGTGTACATGGGCTGGCTCCATTATCGTGACGGAACGAATAGCGTATGAACCTATTGTTGGTCACCGGCTACCATGGGACTGCATCTCCTCACGATGCTCCACTGCCTTGCGGACTAGACCTTCAGGTCAAAGTCTCCGGGTGTGGGCCCCTAAAAAAACCAGCTGCTTCAGTTTGGGCACCTGGGCAGTATCACAGCCCCCACACAAATCAAATGAGATATGTGTGGCGCATATTTATCTGGTGCTTTCTTGTACCAATATTTATGTGTTTAAATAAATAAATAAAAATGGTTTTGAAACAGCTAAACAAAAATCCCTAACGGCTTATACTCAGAGTCATGTTTAATTGCACTTTGATGATTAAACATCCTGTAGTTGAATATGTTTGAGATGACTCCTAAAAATTCGTATATCACTTTTCCTGATAACCGCTATTAGATAACTCATGACGGTATATAAATTTCATGATACGAAGTGTTAACCTTGGTTTATTATCGAACAGCGCAGGTCACAAGCTTATAAAGTGAATATAAGCGGAAATTGACAAGATTTAAGAAGTACACATACTTAGGAAGGTGGATGAATCGCCCAACAATCTAAACAACTGACATTTAAGCTAATAAGCGGGATATGTTTGTAAAATGTACCATACATGACGATGAAGACATAATAATAAAAAGATATAGATAAATGGTTGCTGTACGAATGACAATGTCAACTGACTTATTGAAGGGCTTAACAACATCAAACGCATACAGACCCAAGAGTAGTTGAGGTGATATAACCCCAATTATGTCAGGCAGAACAGGTTGGTAAGACTAAGCGAGTGTCAGCAACTAACCTACCAAGGTCAATATGACTTTCATAATAAGCTAAGCGATCTACAAACTTAACTACTTTATTCTCTTTTATTAGTTAAGACATTTAGGTAAACTGACCTGGCATGTATCTCAGTAATCCCTCCCTTTTTAACTAAGGAATGCAAAATTATGCAGTAAGTCTTATTTGATTATAGAATTAACAAACATAATTATCTTTATCGTAACCTAGTGATGTTTGACATAATAAATTATGGGTACGAAAATGATTTAATATCAATTAAAATAGCAGGATACAAAAATACCTAATTAGTATATACTTCCGAAATTTCTGTTTCGTACAGCAGTAGATTTATTGGCATTTCCCTTTTATATCCCTTGTGTAATTCAACCCTGTTTTGTTAGAAAATTTGTGTATGCAAAAATAATTCCAAATGCTTAAATAAAACAGGACTCGTTAATTAAATGAAAAATGCTGACAATGATTATCTATGGTAAGCAGAGATGGATTTAAGGCTATATCGAGGCAATACGCACAGTATGCACATATGCCAATTAGAGACTGAGCAGTTGTGCAAATAATGTGCATCATTTCTGAAACGTTTCTCGCAAACTTCATTGTTTCTTCAGTCTTGCTGTTATCCTGATCGCTTCCAGTTTTCTCTCTCCACTTCATTTCAGTCCTCTCAATCTTCTGCTCTCGGGCTTCCTACTTCCTCTTGATGCTACAAATACTACTATTACTGCTGCTATGACAGCTACGCATACCATTACTACTACGAAAACAACGACTACTATCACTGTGGTGAACACAAACACCAGCGGGGACAATAGAAAGTATTTGAACTCAAAATTATAAATCGTCTTAGTAAAATCTGAGAACCATACAGTAAATACTTATTTTGCAAAATGTCAATCAATTGTCTCAAACTTGACTGTTCCTTTTGCAAATATCGGTCAATCGTCTCAGACTTCATTGTTCCTGCATTTTCATACCAACTGCTTTCCGTTTCCGTTCTTGCTTTCTCGGTCTTCTACTGAAATATATTCTATTACTGACTATCATTGTATACTACTTATGCTGCCAGGTCTACGACGATTACTACGAAATCTACGACTACTAAGCCTACTCTTTCTGCTACGACTAATAATATAACTACTACTAAGGCTATTAAGATTGTTACGTCTACTACGACTACTATTTATTTATTTATTATTTATTTAAACACATAAATATTGGTACAAGGAAGCACCAGATAAATATGCGCCACACAAATCTCATTTGAGGGCTGTGATACTGCCCAGGTGCCCAAACTGAAGCAGGTGGATTTCTAAGGGGCCCACACCCGGAGCCTTTGACCTGAAGGTCTAGTCCACAAGGCAGTGGAGCATCGTGAGGAGCTGCAGTCCCATGGTAGCCTTTGACCAACATAGGTTCATACGCAATTCGTTCCGTCACGATACTGGAGCCAACCCATTTGCACCAATGGTTTGGAATCAGGGTTTTCCAACTCCCCTAGGTGGACTCGCCTTGTCCACCAACCCGGTTAAAGCGCCAGACATTCGGTTTTCGTCCTCTCACTTTCGTGAACAACACCCCTGGTGTGAGAAGGCAGTGAGTAGGACTTCCCTGGCAGAGGCTATATATTCGCTGGCCATGTGAGAGCATTTCGAGAGGGAGAGCGAACTCTCCCCACTCTCGGCTGTACCAGGGCATTTGGGGGCACTACCACTACTAATATTACCACAACTTTTACTGTTACTACTAAAATTGTCGAGTTTTATCCAATAAGCAGTTATGGACAAAAGGAATAAATCAAAATGGTTTTCACCAATGATTTCTCTCCTTACCTCCATTTGACTGACAATGATCTGAAAACTTTATTTAGCATATACCATGTAACCATACATAAAATTCTTTTTTAATATGAATACTTAAACAATTACAATATCCATTATCAATATAGACTGAGTTTTGGGTACATAAAGGAACAGATAATGAATAGTTAGAATTTGGTTATATATATATATATATATATATATATATATATATATATATATATCCAGTGAAGCAGTTTTCCTTGTTAACTAAGGTCAACTTCTATACTAAATATGATTCCATCCAATTCATTAGGTCATTTTATCAATAAACGAAAAACAAAAACCCACTATCCAAATAGTTGTGAATATAGACATTAGATAAATGAAGTAAAAGCCCTAAAATTCTAAAAACTATCCTGGAAATCATGTATACTGATAAACACGTTCTCTAATGATCAATAATTAGTTTAGTTCTGTTTAAACTGTAAAATGAAAGGAAGTGGGTAGGCGAAAATTTTAGATCCAAGTGCCGAACTAGTTGGCATTTTGTTAGGAAGCCATATTTAGGATTCTGAAACAACTAAGGCCTCACGTAGGATTCGAACCAATGTCTACGCAAATCACTTATCAAATGTGTGGTCGAACTAAGTTCAAGAATCAAATAAGAAAGTATAGTAAGACTGGATTGTGACTAGTAGTGGAATCTAGGACGTTCGTTTATTTCTGTTTAGGATCCTTCGGCTGGATTCACCTATATTTCACTATTAATGTCCGTCCATATTGAGATGCGAACCCAGTTTTTAACATTGAAAAAAATGAGGAAATGTAGACCCTTGCAAAAAATCATTCATACTCGTTGTGCAGGGCAGTAGCTATTTGGACTCGATGGCTTAATAGGTAGCACATTAACATTTGAAGAGAAAGATATTGCGTTCCAGTCTCATTGTTGACATCAACATTCGTATGGAGATATATCCAGCTTATGATTCTCAAAAAAAAAACGAAATAAACTTTTCGGATTTCATTGCTAGCCATCATTTAACTTTAGTAAAAACTTGGGACTAAATGACAATATTGAAGCAATCTGTTCAGTGATACATGCACTAGCTGAGAATGGTGAAACCCAGTCCTTAATATCAAAGACAAAAAACTCAAGCCTATAAATGTATATATATAATGTATAAATCATGATATGAACAGTGTGAGGGAATATACATACTATGAGATTGAAGCACTTAATAATGGTATAGATGGTTTGTGAGCTATAATACAATCATATGCTTCATTTAAATTGAATTTTGTTTGTTGTTTTAACCATTCAATTTGATTAAATCCACATGTTTCTAATGCCATCACATAAATTAAAGGATCAGGATTACCATATTGAAACCATCCACGTTGATTTAAATCAATTAACTGATTTATTTGAAAAGTAGTTACAAGACGTCCATTAGGACGTAGAATTCTCCAAATTTTTTGTAAACAATACGTTAAAGAAGGCCAGAAATAAAAACAATTCACATGAAAACAAGCATTCATTGAAGATGGAGGATAATCAAGATGATGTACACTTCTTAATTGTAAGTCAATACAATCAGTTTTAGTAAGGGGCCATAGTTTCCTGAAATAATGAATTATGATTAATACATAAATGATATAACATTAGAAAAATATTATTCTATTCAAAAGTTTATAAATTTTATATTTTGTTGGTAATTAAGTTCATCAGTCATACATAGATTGAAAGTTTACATTATGGACTGATTGTTGTTAAGTAATCATAAAGCATTAGACAGCTGTTTTCCTCTTGCGTGGAACTATTCAGCAATGTGTATCCACGAAACTCATCAAGGATGGAATACGCAGGATAATTTTCAGCAATTGCAATGAGTGATGATTGTGTAATATGGAAAAATGGTGGAAGATAGTAAGACAAAACAGATGTTCAGGGCTTCCTGATTTTCAATGATTGTTTTGCTAAGATCAGTCTGTTGATGTAAACTATGAAACTGAACAATTTCTATAAACCTTCCGCAGTAACCTAGAAACATTTTTATTAGTTATAAAACTTTCACTTAATTAGAGAATAGAAATACAGCTGAATAGTGAAAGAATCTTTTTTATGGGTGAAATTTGAATATAATCGTTTTATTTAGACTAAATATATATGGGATGACTTCTGCGCCTGATACTAATATTTATCTCACTTACAGTTGATCAATAATTACCTATTATTCATCAGAAGGGGTTTTGTGAAGATTTAGTATTTTCATAGTTGAAAGCGTGAGTCTATTGAAGCTAGACCACCATGTGCTTTCAGGTTTTCCATGGTGGTCTAGTTTTGATTGACTCACGCTTTCAACTATGAAAATACCTATTATTCGTTATTATTAATTAACTTTCATGATAGTAGACCAGGGATATAATGGTCAGAGCATTAGACTTTCAACTGTCTAACTTCAGATTCCAAACCATACCTCTCAATGCGAGTAGTATCAATGGCTGTTACGTGAGTGTATGGTTCAAAAACTATTATATATAGACGTATACTCAGTGAAAACAGTTGCATTACCTTTACTGTCATTAGTATTTAAGCGCTATGATATGGTGGTGAAGTTTTTTAAAATCTTATAACGGATATTGAATATTTGACAAAGAATAACACACAATTAGTTGTACATGAAGGAATCTTCCTATTGAACTGATCATTTTAGAAAAGGATCCATCTATTATGCAACATGTAGATTAATAATTATGAGATTGCGTTAACAGTATTTCTAATGGTATTGGACCTTAAATATTTTTTTCTGTCAAGCGTGAATTGTCTTCATGTAATACAATCAGTGAGGGTTATGTTATCTAATTAGAAATTTATAGAATACAAAAATCAAACTTTACTGACCTAAAAACTCTTTAGATGCAACAAGGAAATATATATTAAATAGAGGTATACAGGTATTAAGGTAAGATTTATAAGCGTTAATGTTTAATGATGTCTATCGGAATATCTAAGTTTTCATTACAAACCAGATAATCACTAAAAAACTAGAAAGCAGTAGGTAGCTATAACGTCCAAATATCGGGCCACTGCTCTTGAGCTGCATAGCTAGGAATAGAACCGAGAACCCTTAGGTAATGTAATGACTGCTTAATTTTTTTGGACCACTGATTCGGTAAATTATAGTTGGTATTTTTGAGCAATCGAGCAGAATTATCAATTTGTTTTTCACAACATGCACACAATATATATATGTATATATGTATAGGAACAAAACAAATTATGTACCCAATTATGTAGTAGACTTTTAAGCATAAGATAACATTACTGATGATATATAGTAATGCTAATGAACAATTCACACTGTGTTATATCCTAGTGAAGACGTAAGTACAGGTAACTTCCAGGACCTATTAATGGACGATTATACTACATATATTCTTATTGTTTAACTATTGAGTGATTAGATTTAATCTGTGTATATTCATCTTATTATAAGCTTCATTTTGACCTATGGATTATTATTATACGAATTACTGTTCCTAAATTATATTCAGTTTATTGATTATTGTATCCCACGTTCACAGCAACATTTGGCTTGTTCTTGTACATATGTGATTTTCTATTTTGTGGTACGATGTGGTCTGTCTATCTGGTATATAAACCAAGTATAATTGAAATAAATGATTTGCATATGGAAAGCTGTAGTTGGTATTTTGGACTAAACTGGAAGGTCTAGGTGGACAAGGGATCAATGAGGACGCTAGACTTTTCGTACTGGTTGGACGTCATTGATTTGGCACAGTATTAAGATTAGACAAGTTGTGTTTTGATTGGCGGATAATTCACATGATAAAAGCCGAACATAAAATCATAACGAATTGAATACGGACTTCTAATTTTTTATAAAGTCATAACAGTAAGAAATCGGATAATCTAGTTTATAGATAAGTGAAGTGAGATAACAACTCACTGAAGACAATTGATGAACGGTTGATCAACTTCGTTGATTGCTTGAAGTTAGAAATTAACACCATCGGATGCCGGCTAGCTCAGTGGTCTATCGGTTAAGGGCTCCGGCTCGAGACTGGTAGGTCCTGGGTTCGAATCTCGCAAGGTGGGATCGTGGATGCGCACTGCTGAGGAGTCCCACAATAAGACGAAATATCCGTTTATTGCTTCCATGTTTTCCATGGTGGTCTAACTTCAACTTTCAACTATTCAAGTATAGATAAGTATCTAATATCAGTACAAATTAATTGATTATGTAATATTTCAATGAGAATATACATATAGAAATTAATAAATTACATTTACCTATTTGCTTTTTGTAGCATATATTCCGAAATTTCAATACCATAAACATGACCATCATTTTTAAATCTATTCGATTGAATAGTTGATGTTGATATAACATTTTCTAATATAAATTTAATTCGTGAAGATTTCCAATGATTAAATGTAATAGGAGCAACATATTCAACAGCTAATTTAATACCATAACCCTGTCCAAATCCAATTTCTAATACATCATCACCAGGTCTTAAAACACAAAAAATTAGAATTGAACAACACCAATTTGATTTATAATCAATTACAGTGAAGAATTTAAGATAGAAAGTTTATTTCACTTGGTATTGTTTGTTTGAATCTTCCCATTGATGTGTTAGGACTGAAATTGATCAGTCTCCTATTGGAATATGTGCATACTGTGCGTATTGCCTCGATATTAGCCTTAATTCACAAGCATTATAAGCAAAGATGGACAGTGGAACGTCAACTATGAGATGCGGGTACATCCAGCTGACGAGTCCGAGATAGGACGAAACGCGCCTCCTGGATCCCACTGCTAGCCACTGTCCATTCTTGCTTAGAAAGTTTATTTATTTATTTTTTATTATAGGAATCATGAACTGATTCTCGCACTCAGAATCGTGATGGTACACTGCTGAGATGTTTCATACTAGGATGAAACGACTGTCCAATGCTTTCAAGTTTTCAATAGTGGTTTAACTTAGATCAGTTTATGATTTCTATAAAATTCAAACAATTTCGACAACTTAATAATAAATTTTTTTAGTGAAATTGAATTGTGCCTAGTAGTGGGATGGGACTGAACAAATGAATATATCTGCATTACAGTGTTAATGTTCGCATCAGAATTTAAGTACAATACCTTTTTCTTTAAACGTTCAATCAATCATCTACTGAGCTCAAATCCTTACTAATAGCGACATAAATATCATACCGACTGAATAAGTTAATAATTATCAGAACTAAGTAACTCAATGGATAACGCGTTACTATTTGCTGCAAAATATATGTCTGAATCGTCATGGACGTAAAGCTGATGATTTCCAAGTAGGACGAAACGGATATTTTGTATTTCACTGTTGGTCACAATCCAAGTTTATTAGAGCTCGTAGCCAAATGGTTATAACTAGGCAGTCTGCTTAAGATCCACATACTCCATCAGAGACTTATCAATTGTAGCCATGAATAACAACAATGGGAAGCTACAAACTCATACTAAGAAAATTAACATGTTAGTAGATGTTTGCTAATACTATTGAGCAGTAAGCATTACAGATAAATGACTCAACTTTTAACCAACACATTACATGTTCAAACATCGCAATAACCACTGTTTTAAGCATGCACGTAGTATAACTACACCTAAAATAACATGTGAACTACTGTTAAGTACTTTGTCACTGAATTGAATCAATTAATTATGTTCCTGAAATAATTAGTAACTGGGAATACAATACAATTTTAGGATATTATTCAATTGTTTGAAATAATGAGTAAAAAATTAGAAACGCTCTAAGAACACACATTGTAATTACTAATATCCGAAAGGTATAGAAAGTCTGTTTATGACCACCGTACAATGGCTAATATGACCGGAAAGAGAAATCATATTGACTTTGTATTATAACCTTAGAGTAAACATACATATAAATGTTTATTTAATTAGTGACATAGTACATATCTGTTGTTTTCAAGAAAATTAGTAAACATGATTATTTACACTGAATAATTTGTGCCATTACACATCAGATAACAAAATACTGATGTACTATTAGGCATCTGGTCAATTTAACTTTTAATATATTAACATACTCTACGTAAACGTATTTTAATAATTAAAATATATTATCAGAAGGGGTTTTGTGAATAATCGTATGCTCACTAGTGACTGATTTCAAGAGGTACTTCCTGGAGTTCTAGTGAGAAGCAGTAACCAGTGGAGTTCAACCACGTCTGTTGTGAGATAGGAACTCACTGAAGACAATTGGTGAACGGTTGCTCAAACTTTGTGGATTGGTTGAAGTTAGACTTTAACACTATCGGATGCCGGCTCATTGGTCTATCGGTTAAGTGATGTGGTGCGAAACTGATATGTCCTGAGTTTGAATCTCGTGAGGCGGGATCGTGGATACGCACTGCCGAGGAGTTCCGCAATAGGACTATACGGCCGTTCAGTTTTCCTTGGTGGTCTAGCTTCAATTGACTCATGCTTTCAATTATAAAATACTTTAATTTGAACCTACAATCAAGGAACCACTGTGTAAGCTTAACTGGAGTTTCTATTTACAAAAATGTTAGTATCTCGTTTTCTTTACCGATAATAATAATACGTTTATAAATTAGGTAATTTAACGCTAATTTTAAAAACGAATTAACATAAATCTAAAAATTACTAAAGATCAGGAAACACCTCTCCTTCAACTCTCTCCTATACTTAAACGGTATTTAGGCTAACCATCCTTTCTTCAGTGATCAATAAAAGTGAAATATCTAGTATTTCCGAGGATTTTTCTTGTAATTTGAAAATCAGCGCTGTATATAAAAGTGTAATTTTCACTAAGGATTTCATTTTAATTATCCGAAGCAACTGACAAATGTCTTTCATGAAAATGTTACTGTAGCGCATTCCAACTTGCCGGATAAAAGAAGAAAAACAAAGTGGAAGTTAGAACTTGAAATAAAATCCTCAGTGGAAATTATGCTCTTGTATGCTTACTTACTTACTTACTTTCGCCTGTTACTCCCAATGGAGCGTAGGCCGCCGACCAGCTTTCTCCAACCTACTCTGTCCTGGGCCTTCTTTTCTAGTTCTTTCCAGTTCTTGTTCATTCTTCTCATGTCTGTCTCTATTTCTCGGCGTAATGTGTTCTTTGGTCTTCCTCTTCTCCTTCGACCTTCAGGATTCCATGTGAGGGCTTGTCTTGTGACACAATTGGGTGATTTCCTCAAAGTGTGCCCAATCCACTTCCAGCGCTTCTTCCTGATTTCTTCCTCCGCTGGAATCTGGTTTGTTGTCTCCCACAGTAACTTGTTGCTGATAGTGTCTGGCCATCGGATCCGAAGTATCTTGCGTAGACAGCTGTTAATAAACACTTGTATCTTCTGGATAATGGCTTTCGTAATTCTCCACGTCTCTGCCCCATACAGAAGAACTGTCTTGACATTTGTATTGAAAATTCTAACCTTGGTGTTGGTTGACAATTGTTTTGAGCTCCAGATGTTTTTCAGCTGTAGGTATGCTGCTCTTGCTTTGCCGATCCGCGCCCTCACATCTGCATCTGATCCACCGTGTTCATCAATGATGCTGCCCAGATATGTAAAGATTTCCACATGCTCCAAAGCTTCTCCGTCAAGTGTAATTGGATTGGTGCATATTGTATTGTATCGGAGAGTCTTGCTTTTCCTTTTGTTTATATTGAGACCTACTGCTGCTGAGGCTGCTGCTACACTGGTCGTTTTCTCCTGCATTTGTTGTTGCGTTTGTGATAGAAGAGCCAGATCATCCGCGAAGTCTAAATCGTCAAGCTGCATCCTGCCTGTCCACTGTATCCCGTGCATTCCTCCAGATGTTGACGTCTTCATAATCCAGTCGATCACCAGGAGAAAGAGAAAGGGTGAGAGTAGGCAACCTTGCCTAACACCGGTCTTTACCTCGAACGAGTCGGTGAGTTGTCCTCAGTGGACGATTTGGCAGCTTAGTCCATCATAGGAGTTCCGTATGATGTTGACTATCTTCTCAGGCACGCCGTAGTGTCGAAGAAGCTTCCATAGTGTCGTCCTGTCCACGCTATCAAATGCCTTCTCGTAGTCGATGAAGTTGATGTAGAGTGATGAATTCCATTCGATTGATTGTTCCACAATGATACGTAGAGTTGCGATTTGATCTGTGCACGATCTATCCTTACGAAATCCAGCTTGTTGATCTCGAAGTTGAGCGTCCACGGAATCCTTCATCCTGTTTAACAATACTCTGTTGAAGACTTTTCCTGGTATTGAGAGGAGAGTGATGCCCCTGTAGTTGTCGCACTTGCTCAGATCGCCTTTCTTTGGTATCTTGTATGCAGTACACACTTATCAAATAATGAACGGAAAAATACTTCAAGATCCGCTTACGTACTGAAGATTTTGAGAAATGGACAAGTTACAAATTCATGAACACATGTCTTATCTCGCTTAAACATACATATAATTTCCAAATAACCCGAAGAAAATAACATCAATAAATTGAGAGACAAATAAGTGCAATATATCCATTCGCTTACTAATATCTTCCGTAAGTGGTTATTCTTATATATGAATTGGTTGGACCTAGAAATTATAATCTTTTCTTTGAAGTGAATTATTATACCAAAAGGAATATGTACTTATTTATATAGTATTCAACAAGTATAACTTTTAAGTAACAGTAACACAATGCTTAGATATGATTCTTTTAAGGGATCAAATTCTAGGGTTGTATAAAAAAACGCTAATTATTTTCTTATCGACTTGTGATCATATCCTTTAATTTGAGTTTGGAAATTGCCCTTATCTGATACTGATATATACAATTCCCTATAAGCGAACACGACCAGCTGCTTGAGTGAGAATGCTAAGGGTACGTAGGAAGCTTTTATTGGTTGAAAAGAATTAAAACATATACATAAACTCATCCATTTAACATAGATATGTTTCCCTAAGAAAATTAAGCCAGATCTCCAACCAACAACGTACCTGTCTTTCTCTCAGATAATGAATCTAAACCTTGAAAAGCTGAGTGAACCCATCAGTATCTCTTATTTACCATTCAGCTTGAATAAACTGGTAGGTTTGATGAGTCCATTTCATCAGATATATATTCAGGTAATTTATATTTCAGGATAGTATTCAGTAAGTATAACTTTCTAACGAGAGCACTACATTATGTTTACATGGTATTTTTCAAAAGATTGAATTTAAGATTGAAAATTTAAACCAATTCTCATTGACTTGTTATTGTGTTAGTAACGTTTTTTTAAATTTAAGATCCGCAAAATTAAATCCTGTTTGTAATGTTGGTTGATTGTTTTTTGGGCGGTCTAAACAAATCAAATGAGATTCGAACTGGTAAACTGTATCATTAGTTTTTGGGCAACAAATCTGCCTTATCAACTAGTACATACACTTGTATATGGCTTCAAATTTAAATGATTGTTTTTATTATTATTACTATTATTAGGATGCGTACTTTGTGGATATTGTTCGACTGAAAGATTACGTGGTGGATTGACTTTAGTGTGACAAACATTGGAACGTGGTAACGTTCTAAAAGTGCGGACTGACGAGTCCAGAGGATGTCGAATCCAGGATTTTCAAAGCCTTATGGAGAGCGTATCGCACTTAGACCAACGGTTTTGGCACGCAGTTATTCATATTTTTTTCTTTTGAATTGAACGAATTTACGGTACTGTGTGAATATCATCAGTTGACATTGATAATCATTGTGTTATTCTTGACACGATTTAATTCCACTGTATTATAGTTTTTTTTTAATTATTATCCTACTTTTATTAACGTTTTAAAAATTAAAGGATATCCACAGGTCAATAATGTTGTGTCTATGTCTCTATTGTTGAATTTTCAGTCCTATTTCTAATACTTGACAATCAGGAAACATTGTAATTCGCGCAACCCAAAGTAAGAACACAAAAGACTGGTGCGAATAAATTCTTATTGACTCTTTAAAATCGCGTCCCCAAACACGTCGCTAATATAAGTCGTCCTTAAGCAAATACATACTCATTTATACACCGAATTTTACATAAAACAATATGGAATACAGGTAAAAATACACCAAGTTACTATAAAAAACACACACTGCTTGTAGTTCACCTGAGCTGACACGAGGAATGTAAATGTCACCCTTGACGAGAGTTCACATCTTTTATATTGAAAGGAGTTCATGTTGAATCGAAACGAAAATATTGACCAGAAATAACGTCACATTTAACCAGAGTTCACACCTGTCACGCAGGACGAAATTTATGTAGAAGTGATAAGAAAATCAGTTGACCAGAAATAATGTCACCTTTTATCCCGTTATATGAACTAGTATTTGATGACAAACGACCTCGAAGCGTTGCTCATGTATACTGAAACCATCGAGTGAGTTACGTACCAAATAAAGATGCCAAATAAGTTAACGATTTAGTAGATTTTCATTAACTGAGGTGTTTGGAACAATGCAATCGTATAAGCAGCCATCACTTGGCTATAGTGTATTATTACATATTATCAATCATTATGTGCACGATATCCATTAGTTTGACAATCACTCAATGACTTTTCGTCACAATTCATAAAAGCCTAATTCATAACACAAATATATTTGTTGCATCTCATAGCCTGGGTCAGTTAGATATATTGATTTAAGGTCAAATAATAAATGAGAGATGCTGCTAACGGATTCATGATAACGGTCAAGATTTGGCTTAATAATCTAAAGGGAACAGATATATATGATAGTTGAAAGCGTGAGTCAATTGAAGCTAGACCACCATGGGAAACCTGGAAACACTGGACGGCCGTTTCGTCCTATTATGGGACTCCTCAGAAGTGCGCATCCACGAACCCGCTCTCGCAAGATTCGAACCCAGGACCTAACAGTCTCGAGCCGAAGCCCTTAACCGATTGACTCACGCTTTCAACTATGATAAATACTAAATCTCCACAAAACCTCTTCTATAATTAATATAATCATATGCTCACTAGTGACTTCGAGAAGTATATCTAGGAGCTCTAGTGAGAAGCAGTGACCAGTGGAGTTCAAAACCACGTCTGTTGTGAGATAGGAACTCACTGAAGACAGTTGATGAACGGTTGCTCAACTTCGTGGATCAGTTGAAGTTAGACATTAACACTATCGGATGCCAGCTCAGTGGTCTATCGGTTAAGTGCTCTTGCTCGAGACTGGTAGGTCCTGAGTTCGAATCTCGCGAGTGCGAGTTCGTGGATGCGCACTGCTGAGGAGTCCCATAATAGGACAAAACGGCCGTCCAGTGTTTTCAGGTTTTCCATGGTGGTCTAGCTTCAATTGACTCACGCTTTCAACTATGATAAATACTAAATGTCCACAAAACCCCTTCTATAATTAATATATATATGAGTTTGTTAATACATTTCAATTCGAGTTCGCTTCTTATTCAGTCAGTTAACCATATCCAACATAAAATCTGGAAAATGTGTACATCAGTTCAAAATGCTATACTACATTCGGAATGCGAGACGAGATGTCAAGGTAAATCCCAGAGTATTAGAGACAGAAACAATAATTAATGGCAAGAGAGAAGACTAAGTATCCAAGATAATATTTGAGAAAAGATAGATTAGTGAATTTGTAAAAAGATTTATGGAGGGTTTAGAAACTTAGGAACTAAAAAAAGATAGAGTGGATGGATCCGTACCATCGCTGACGATTTTGAGCCGTCATTCACTGTTTCTAACTATTAGTTACGATAATCACACTGACCCTAACCATGCAGTCTGCACCTACCTGCATACTTCAGTCCAATAGTCAGTTTACTCATGGACTGATGCCATGTCTTGTTAGCTTCTTACTCACTCTTGGTTTTCTCATCAAAGTAGCCAATCGGGTTCACGTATGTATCAGTATCAGACTCGAGTGATCACTCAATACAATAAGATTCAGTTGTTCAAAATAAATAAAAACGAACAACATTATTAAAATACACTATGAAAGATTAGACTCCTACTTAGTTGAATACAAAATAATGTTCATTTATATCTGTTGTCAGTACACAGTAAGAATAACAATTGGCATGTCAAAATAAAACAAATTGTTGCACAATCATGAATGAATGGTCCAACTGGTAGTCGATTACAACCACTACAACTTATCTGTCATAAAGTTTACTCACTAACCATATAGTTATTTTTTAATCGAACAATGAAAGTGGTTTTAAGGCATTCCTGAAATCTCTTTCTAGGGTAAAAAAAACTATCACAATGCAAAAGTTATTTGTCCGTTCGAATAGTTCGATCGTCCCACCATGGAAGGACACATAACTTCAAATAAAAAATCCGACATCTATATAACCAGCAGCTGGAGAGTGGAAGTTTTTTATCAAATAAAAGCCAGAGCAACTAACTACTGATAAACCGATGTTGTGTAACATGGATCAGGCGTTCAATTTATGGATTATTTTCACCATTACTGTTATTATTATTGTAGTTTCGGTAACTATGTTAAGCCCATATACCTTATTTTAGATTCTGGACAGGCCAATTTATCCATTCTCCTTGAGTGACTTCTTGACCTTGTTAATTATTCACTTATCAACCTTGACTGTTTTTATATGGGCGTGTGTGTGTACACTTCTTATCCTATTCATCACATATCTGTAACTTATTTTTATCTGGCTATAAATATTGATTAATACTTGACCAAACGGAGTTGGCTTACACACCTTCTCCATCACGCGTCATTTTTCTTCGCTTTATTCCCCTCATTTCCTGTCCTGATGAGTGAGTGTACAAAATATATATATTCAAAAATCCATTTTCGTATCCAACTTATTTAATTCCATTATTCACCAACGCGATTTAAGTCCATGAAGTATACGAGGATATCCAGGATGTATATTTCGATAACAAGCAATCAGAAACGATCATATCGGAGTCAGATATAGGGCCATTAAATTATTACTAACTATATTACAAAGATCAGGAAATAAGATCGGATCAGACTGTTGTTGATAAAGAACTAAATACCAAATATACAATGAACAGTATAAGGTTATAATATTTTTAGTCATTATCTAAACGAATGACTATTGACTGACAAATTACACTATAAGTATAAATCATAAATTTTTTACAGAGACATCCAGTGACACTAATTCTTCTTATCCTACATGGGGCCAGTAATCCTTTCAAGATTTAAAATAGACCTCGTTGATGTGTGCCAACTAGAACGAAACAAAGGTATGACATTTCATATTTATGGTTAAGGATATCGGATAACATGACTCAGAATCGGTTACAATGAAGTAGATACATTCACTATTTCTTGTCCTTTAGATCATGAGTTATAGATGCAAACATCATTTTTCTAACATAAGTTTGAATATTTAGTTAGTATCACCCGACTTAAGACTTAAGGCTGAATGTGAATGAGAATTCCCACTTAAGCTATGATGCGCTTAACCAATCAGATCTATCAAGTCAAAGCCAAATGGCAAGGGAGAAATGCTAACGAATGTATGCTATTGGTCAAGACTTAGCTAGACTTTCTGAGTAAACGGATATATCAGCAAGGGTTCTTGTGCAGATTTTAGTAATTCTATAGTTGACATCATGAGTCAATTGAAGCTAGACCACCGTTGGATGCTGGCTCAGTGATTCTAGAGGTTAAGCTCTCGTGCGCAAGACTTATAGGCCCTGGGTTTGAATCTCGCGAGGCGGGATCATGAATGCGCACTCTTGAGGAGTCCCACAGTAGGACGAAACGGTCGTCCAGTGCTTCCAGGTTTTCCATGGTGGTCTACCTTCAATTGACTTATGATTTCAACTATATAAACAGATATATCCCATTGATTGAAAATATCTTAATTTTCTTAAGTCGAGTATATATATATATTAATAAGTTGAATATATATTATCTTTCCGTGCTAATAACTAGAAGCTTACTACTCACATTTAGTTCACACAATGAAATATCTGATTGAATTTGAAAATATAAGAAGAGTATCGTTGGGATGATCGTGAAAATTTCTCGCAATAGACAAGAAAGGCTCAGGAAACGTTAAGAAGCATTTTATTCAATCAGCGTTTGACTAGAAGTTATGCTAGAAACATCACGAAAGTGATAAGTCACACGTAGAGTTTCTGATTGACTGATTACTACACTGATACTATGTTTAGTAGTATTCTACAATTTTCAGGAAAACCCAATGACTTCTGAAATACTATAAAAATCCTATATTTTCTGTACATGAATAAACCTCTGGAGTAAAGTGCTTCTCGCACATTTTGAGCCTTGTCTCTCGTGTTCAAGTTGCTGTGTAGTTTTAGCTTGGGGGTTATGAGATTAGCTTAGGATCGGAGTATAGAGTTCAATTAGCAAGATATATCAAGTATATGTAATGCTAGTAGACTTAAACAATTATAGAAATAGAATCAATGAAAAAATAATGAAACAATTGAATTAGATAAATACATAATAAACTTACTTTAAATTACATGCATCAATAGCTGCAGCAGTTAATAGTTTATTTTGTTTTTTTAATTTGTATTGATAAAGATATTTGGAATAGAAATTAGATGTAGGTTTCTTTAAACTACATGAAAATTGATGAATGATATGTTGATGTAATTTATTAGCCTATTGTAATGATTAAAAAAAAAGTAAAAGTTTATATCAGAAGAGTTTTTCTGGAGATTTTAGTAATTTTATAGAGTTGAGATCATGAGTCAATTGAAGCTAGACCTCCACGGAAAACATGGAAAACTGAACGGTCGTTTCGTCCCATTGTGGGACTCCTCAGCAGTGCGCATCCACGATCCCGTCTCGCGAGATTCAAACCCAGAACCTACCAGTCTCGCGCCAGAGCACTTAACCGATAGACCACTGAGCCGGCATCCGATGGTGTTAAAGTCTAACTTTAACCAATCCATGAAGTTGAGCAACCGTTCATCAATTGTCTTCAGTGAGTTGATATCTCCCAACAGACCCACAATAAGACGAAACGGCCGTCCAGTGCTTCCAGGTTTTCCATGGTGGTCTAGCTTCAACTGACTCATGATCTCAACTATATAAAAGTTTATATTTTAAAGATATATATATATAGAAGAAGTGGATGAAATCTATTAGTAAAAGTGTTCTTGGACATATATATCCAAATATTACAAAAAAAGACTTTTCCAACTATAAAGAAATTTGAATAACTGAAATTTTACATATGATTACTTAATCCTAATGTTTTCAATAGAAAAGAAGAACTTACTATCTTACCGACTTAGATTATTTATTCGAGTTACTATCTCATACTATTACCATATATACAAATCTCACTCTATTCTTTTACATTACAAACGTAACATTTTTCACTTATTAATAGACATAAATATGCAAGTATATTTCAAAAAAATCATCTAAGTCAGTCAGCTACAACGTAGGACCAGGCACACATATGCATCGTTTCAAGTTGCCACATCTCATTGACACAACAAGATGAACACAGAATTCATAGAACTCGTTACTTCAATGGTAGTAATATATAAAAGAGAGATTGTGTATAAGGATATAATACAGGAAGAAAGAATTAGTTAGTAGAAATAAAGGTATAAAATAATTTTATTCTCATGGTTTAATGGAAGACAAAGAGTGTACACACCTACATCATTATGATCGATTCTGAGCTATGTCACCTAGAGTCCCCAACCATTGGTTACGATAGTCACGCAAACCCCAACCAAGTAGTCTGCATCTACCAACATAGCTTAGACTAGAAGTTAGTGACTTCAAGCTCTGAGGCCACGTTTTGGTTTGGCCGCCCCTAACTCTCTTCCAACCATCCCCAACACTAGTCAGCATTGCGCTTCATGGTAATCGATGTTCAGGCATACATAACATGTGGCCCAACCATCTCAGTTGATGAAGATGCGAGCAATATTTCTAAGGCATCTGTGGTCAAATACTAGTAACTTACGAGTATCTTCTACTCTTAATGACCATGTTTCGCAGCCGTAAAGCAGAACAGAGCGAACTGTTATGCAGTATACTCGTCCCTTAATTGATAGACGGATATCTCGTCTTCGCCATAGGTGACGTAAGTTAGCAAAAGCCAAACGAGCTTTTAGAATCCGTGCAGAGATTTCGTCAGACACCAACCCATTAGGGCAGATCAGACTTCCAAGATAAGTGAAATTGTCGACGCGTTCGACTACTTCACTCCCTATCCTTAGTTCAGGTGTTGACGCAGGCCGGTCCTGGAGTAACAATTTACATTTCATCAAAGCTGACTAGTACTCACTAGGTTATTATTTACATGACACGATAAGTTTGGCTTTTATCGAGGGGGGAGGGTTACGATGATTTCGAATTAGTGAATTAACTCTTTAAGATTGTTTTACAAACACCATTGAAGACTGAACAAACATCATCTTTCTTGTTTCATTTTTATGATGTGAATCGTGTTGACTACAAGACAGGTGATAAGATTAGTTAGTTTCGGTGATTCGCATAGTTAGCTATTATACTGAAACAAACAGCTGGGTGTTACCTAGTAACAGAAGATAGAACACATCCTACCCAGTTAGAATTTTTAATTAACCAAAAACTAGTTTGAATTGAAGCTTATGGTTAGATATGTCTCCTACTGTTTTTGTGAACAAATGAATCTGTTAGGGCAGGAAAAACAGGTGAAAATAAGGAACTTGACAAATTATTCTCTGAGACTTCAGTATTTGAATTTTTGGTGTGTGCTTATCAACTGCTTTAAGGTATTCTCTATGTTCCCTTAATTGTAAGCTTTTATTCAGTACATTAATTTTTGATATACATTTTGTCTTCCGTAAATTAATATTGGTAAGAGTATGGAGTAAAAGTATAACATAGGAAAGAGTCAATCAAAATCGAGAAAACCGTTAAGATTTGCGCAAAATCCGAAAATGAATGACTTTTATCTTGTATGTAAGTCTTGATCCTGAAATCCAACTACTTCTCCGAACTAAACCTTAAGTCTTCGGTTCTAAAATCAAGCTCTAACCATAGACGATATGAGGACTTCTACAGATCTGTTTGCGTCTTTGTAAGGGTTATAGATACGGGTGCCCTAAATGCATACCAACGAATTTATAAGTATATTTTCTCAATTTACAGACATAAGCTTTGAAAAACCACATTAAATCCAATAATTATGTAGAATTTGCTTATACTTTGCAATATTGTTCTTTGATTTTCCCTAAACCATTCAACTGCATAAGCTATTTTCTGATTGGTTGAAAGGCCTTTGGCTAATTTCAAGTTCGTTACTACAATGTACATGCTCTTACCAGTAAAAGTCATCCATTTCTAAGTTTTGCCTAAAAGCCTTGTAACAGTTTTTTCTATTCTAATTGGCTCACCCCTATATTAACGCTTAACATGAAAATTACTTACAAATCTGTTATACGCTTTCCTACTATGTCATACAGAAACATATTCTACTCTGACTAACTTCAATTCATATTTATAAAAATAGTTCTAAATGATGTTCGTACCAGAGTTCTAAGATATTGTATCAACTTGCCCCCAAATGCCCTGGTACGGCCGAGAGTGGGGAGAGTCCGCTCTCCCTCTCAAAATGCTCTCACATGGCGACGCGTATATAGCCTCTGTCAGGGAAGTCCTACTCACTGCCTTCTCACACCAGGGGTGTTGTTCACGAAAGTGAGAGGACGAAAACCGAATGTCCGGCGCTTTAATCGGGTTGGTGGACAAGGTGAGTCCACCTAGGGGATTTGGCAAACCCTGATTCCAAACCAATGGTGCACATGGACTCCAGTATTGTGACGGAACGAATGGCGTATGAACCTATTGTTGGTCCTTGGCTACCATGGGACTGCATCTCCTTACGATGCTCCACTGCCTTGCGGACTAGACCTTCAGGTCAAAGGCTCTGGGTGTGGCCCCTAAGGAAACCACCTGCTTCAGTTTAGGCACCTGGGCAGTATCACAGCCCTCACACAAATCAAATGAGATTTGTGAAGCGCATATTTATCTGGTGCTTTTTGTACCAATATTTATGTGTTTAAATAAATAAATTGTATCAACTTTCGGTTGACGGACCTTTGCGGCTTTCAATCCATAATGTGTACTTCCAGATATTTTAAACTATTAACATAGTTCGCCAAATCTATTTTAAGTGAACAAACTGTGATATACAAGCAGAAATGCACCAAAGCACTGAAGTCCTCTACACTAAACAGATCTAACAGTAGTCCTGCCTACGTAACTAACTATTGAGAATCTTATGGAATTACTAACCATACCTGCCACGGTTCAGTCTGAACAGCGCATATACTCTATCATTTAGTGAAGGAAATCGTACAAAGTATTAAACTCGAATGCAACAAGCAACATATATCTACATCGATAAGTGAAAGGGCTTGTTTATTCTGATTATACATAATTACAGATGAATGATTCAACCCAATATTTGACGTTATGAGAATTTATCTCTATGACTTATGCATTTATTTCTCAATCATTAAACTTTTCGTAAAAACATTTAATCCATTTTAAATTATGTAACTTTTTTTACTTACTTAAACACACCAAATATATATGCACTACACAAATAATTCAATTTGTGTGAGGGCTGGGTTAGTAACCGGACACTCAAACCGAAGCAGGTGGTTTTTTCAAGGAACCAATCCCCGAGTTTTTGACCTAGAGGTCCAATCCATAAGGCAGTGGAGCAACGTTAGGAGATGCAGTCTCATGGCAGACAGTGACCAAAAATTGGTTCATACGCCATTTGTTCCCTCAGAATTCGGGAGCCCGTGTGCACCATTAGTTTGGAAGCAGTTTTCCAACTCCCCTAGTTGCATCCTTCATATCCAGTAGCTCGGTCAAAGCACTGAGCATTTGCTTTATATCCTCTCAATTTCGTAGACATCACCCCCGCCTTGAAAAGGAAGTGGATATGACTTCCCTAACAGTGGCTGTATACGCGTGGCCATGTGAGGGCATTTCGAGAGTGAGAGAAAACTCTTCCCACCCTCAGCCGTACTAGGCCATTTGGGTGCAACTTAATAATATACTCTCACTAGAGCCAATTCAGGGTTACTGCCTATCGCAACCACAATAAAGGAGTAAGGTTGTCTACAGGGTCAGCAACCCTTTCCCATAGAAAACAATCTTGCTAAAAACGCTAAACAGGAAAAAAACATTTTAACTCTAATTATTTATTTATTTAAACACATAAATATTGGTACAAGGAAGCACCAGATACATATGCGCCTCACAAATCTCATTCGATTTGTGTCAGGGCTGTGATACTGCCCAGGTGCCCAGACTGAAGCAGGTGGTTTTCTTAGGGGGCCACACCCGGAGCCTTTGACCTGAATGTCTGATCCACAAGGCAGTGGAGCATCGTGAGGAGATGCAGTCCCATGGTAGCCGGTGATCAACGGTTGATTCGTACGCCATTTGTTCCCTCAGGATACTGGAGCCCATGTGCACCACTGGTTTGGAATCAGGGTTTGCCAACTCCCCTAGGTGAACTTTCCATGTCCACCAACCCGGTTAAAGAGCCGGACATTCGCTTTTCGTCCTCTCACTTTCGTAAGCAACACCCCCGCCACGAGAAGGCAGTGAGTAGGACTTCCCTGTCAGAGGCTATATATTCTCTAATTAGACATGATTGATGTGTAGATACTCTGATTTTCATTAGGTTAAAGTTTTATTTGTTTGAGTTAGTATGATGTACATAAGAAATGTCATCTGAAGAAAGTAATATTTTCTTTATCATTAAACATCTCACTAAATGTAAATTGGTGTCTTCCAAAACACTTTTTTGATACAACTCATCTAGCAAGTATATATATTCGTATACCACAGGCCTTGAATTACACTACTGGCTAGCGATAACCAGTTGTTTAAACCGAAATAAATGAAGAATCATTCAGACTTGTAACCCAGTAACTGTGAAACAGAACAACTTTATACATCAAGCAATCACTTTTTCTTATAAGTATTGATTACGCAATAATAACCAGAACAGAAAAGCTGGTGCTTTAACAGAGGTAAAAGATTTTTACTAATTTTCAATTAAACATAGACGACTACAGTGTCTCGTAAATTATGTGAATGTTAAAAAACCTAATATGTAAATCGAAGTGAAGATGAAAGTACGCTACTACAGATAACGTAGTGGGCTGAAATACATACGAACTGTCTTAGATATAGAAACAATATTCTATAGCTTTTATATAATATGTGTAACTTTATTCAAATCAACAAATATTGAATGGTTGAGTTACACATTTTGTGAGACGGCTAATTAAAAAAATGTCTTACTTAACAGACTTTAGACTTTTTGACACAATAGAAGAGTACCTACCGAAGTTATTAGGCAGAGAACAAACTTCATACAAATATCAAGAAAAAGAAGAATAAAACTAGAAAAAATTCCTTCATTTATATAACACAACTTGCTACTGATACAAATGGAAATGTAACAGTCCAAGAATAGTTTTATTTTTCCGCCAAAGAGATTTGTACTTTCACTGAGAGTGAAATTAGATTTATTTTTATGACAACATCTCTTCCATAATGATAATGTATTGTATTTTGTTCAAAATTTAGACAGAAATATATTCAAATATAAAGTTGATAAGATCACTACGCGAGTTCAACACATGGTGTTAAAGTATATTCCGGTTTAACCTGGAAAACAAACAAAAAATAATCATATGTTTGATTGAATAGACGGAGTAACAATGCAACAAATCAACTTAATTAATATGTTTGTGTTATATATTGCTAATCCGCTCACGTCATAATACTGTCGTTATTTTAGTCCGGTTTCTTGGGACATGTTCTTCACTACTCTTTATCAACTCACTTAATGCGATTATTATGATACAAACCACAACGCTACTTCTTAACTACTTCGGTAGACATTCACATAAATATAAATGGAATAATTTAAACGCGCACACTTAAATTTGAAAACAGTATTCACTTTTCCGGATAAGTATGGGAAACTTCATCGGACTACCAGAGCTAAATATAGTCCACAAAGGATGCAGCACAATAAGATGTCATTTTAGAACTGATTTTATATATCTTACTGCGGTACTTGACTCAACACTCAGAAGACAAAAGTTCAGCTTACAGGTAAATGTACCATCTTACTGACAACTGAGGTTTATAAGCATCTATAAATCAATACAGATGTACGATGACTATAATTACCAACTAGTTTCATACTAATATTGGAGTTTCGTAGGTAGTTTCAGTAGCTATTTAACCAGAAGGCTAATGAAACATAAGTTAAACAGATATGATACAAATGAGCGGGAGAATAAGATTGTTACAATTATTAAGACGGTAACCATCGATTACCCTACAATGACTTGTTAGGTAGGATAGCTAATAGAAACTAGGATGTATTTTGTAGAGCAGTGGCTAAGTGATTAAGGTGTGCGACTTCCAGTCAGTGAGTCGCTGTTTTGAACCCCGCTCCACCTAATCCCACGATCGGGAAACGGCCTAGTATCACTAGACTTCACTTCAAACTTAATGTGTGGTTACCAGTCAATTACAAGGATCAGTATCTGGTAAATGAGCTACATGACAGGGAAGAAATTGGAAATATATGAACTGTGTATTAGCAGATTTAAACATACTGTAACATAAATATTTTGCGAAATTTTATTTACCTTGAAGGGAGGACCATAAGCAGGAACTACCCAATGAGCTCGCTCCAAAATTAACATACGGCTTTGACGCCAAATATTGATCAAATTTTCTTTGTCACAGTTACTTTCTCCATGATTCCCATCCATCGTGTCAAGAAAGCTTACACGACTAGCATCTTGGACATCCATAAACAAGTTCCCAGTAACAGCTATACAACATGATTCACGACACTCACCCGTCTTTAACTCTATGAGACGACCATTTACTACCAAACTGACTTGTGCACCTCTCCGGCCAGGAGTTCCGATAACACAAAACTGGAAAGAATATCAGAAAGATATCTGAAATTATCAGTTGAATCTCTTCATTTCAATCAAGTAATGGAACCATAAGCAAGAAAATCTTTTATTTATTTAAACACATAAATATTGGTACAAAAAGCACCAGATAAATATGCGCTTCACAAATCTCATTTGATTTGTGTGAGGGCTGTGATACTGCCCAGGTGCCTAAACTGAAGCAGGTGGTTTCCTTAGGGGCCACACCCAGAGCCTTTGACCTGAAGGTCTAGTCCGCAAGGCAGTGGAGCATCGTAAGGAGATGCAGTCCCATGGTAGCCAAGGACCAACAATAGGTTCATACGCCATTCGTTCCGTCACAATACTGGAGTCCATGTGCACCATTGGTTTGGAATCAGGGTTTGCCAAATCCCCTAGGTGGACTCACCTTGTCCACCAACCCGATTAAAGCGCCGGACATTCGGTTTTCGTCCTCTCACTTTCGTGAACAACACCCCTGGTGTGAGAAGGCAGTGAGTAGGACTTCCCTGACAGAGGCTATATACGCGTCGCCATGTGAGAGCATTTTGAGAGGGAGAGCGGACTCTCCCCACTCTCGGCCGTACCAGGGCATTTGGGGGCAAGCAAGGAAATCTATTTCATCAGAATTCTTTACTATTATTTTGTAGATCTATTTACTCATCATACATTTTTCATATGACGTTCAATCTTATGCATTCACTAACGATGAAAAGTAATGATGACAACTGACAAATGAAATAAACAAAGTGGACTTATAAGTAACAGTTTCTAGTAATCAATATCAATCTTAGGTTGGGAGGACTATGAGGATTTAAAGTCACACAAAACAATTAAGGTAACCAGTAAAAACGGGTATAATTTATAACTGAGTTCCCGTTACTATTTAGTCATACAAGCAAGTCTCGTCCCTAAGTTACCTTTACTTTTCAAACATAAGGAGAAAAGTACCGAAATACAACAAAAGGGTATTTGAAATGATTTTAGTTATTGAGAAAAATTTATGGCAATAACATTCCGACATAGTGCAAAAGTAACAGTAACGCTCCTATGGTGGATATGAAACATCCCAACTTATGCGGCCTAGTAACAAGTGAAAGCAATAGCTGCAAAAGGTGTCCCAGAAACAACAAATACACTACCCAAAGGACTTTTGGTGTTTATATAAGGACTGAAATTGAAAGCACTCAACTTTACAAAACCAAAAACAATTCACGAAAACGTTGTGTGGACAACATCGAGTAGATATTTTCATGCCACAGGATCGAATTCTCAAACCAATTAGATCAAAAAAATACAGTACGTTTTTCTCAGAAAAGTGAGCTTTTATTATTTAGACAACCCAGAAGCTGCAATTACCTGCACACAGCTAGCAATACCTGAGTTCATTTTATTTATCATCAACGTCTAGCTTTGTTTTCATCTCAATAAGTTTTTAAAAGGATGACAAAAAACAACTTGAATGAAAACGGGTATACAACCCACACAGCAGTGGTGGAAAGCGGAGGCAAGACATTATGATGGGCGAAACTAGAAATTATTAAGTACGCTGAGAGCCTAAACGTCATAAGTTAGTGGAACTATTATTGAGAATTGAAGTGTTCTATGTTAATTTTAAATCACTGAGACGACTGCGCATTTCGAGTAACCGTTTAACTGGCTTTTGGCTACTTCTGAACAGAGATGAAAATTAGACGTCCAACGCTGTAAAGACTATTTTAAACCTACGGAGAGCAGTAGACTTTAAAGGTCTTTAAGATCAGTGATCTCTGTTTGATAGAGCGATTTAATTAAGCCATTTCATTGATTAGTAAATTTTGATATACCATTATTCAGAGAAATACTAAAGGAATAAACCGACCTACTGAACATGTCTAGATTGACCCTACAAATAGACAGCATGTGAATAGGCCATATTAGTTAGTAATCTCGATCAACAAAAATGATTCTAATATAATTATCAAATAGCTACAGTTTACACTTTTCAGTTTGCGATGCATATGCAAAACACCCAGGTAATCATATCTACAGACTGAAGAGAATCTATTGAGAATCCATGAACCGACGGTGATCAGGCCACTGTGACAGGTATACCTGTGTCAAGTGGATATTATACCATCTTACTCCACAAATACAAGTACACTAACAACACGACTTAGTATATTTAAAATGGGCACTGGACATTGTGAGGAATATGTCCAAATCAAATTTCACTAAATAGTATCATAGCTACAAAAAAACAGTATATAGGTGTGTATATGGTAGATCAGTATAGTTATGACAAACTGCCACTTAAGTAGTTCAAGCACGTAGACTTCACAAACTAAAAAGGAATAAGGAAAAACCTGACGAATATCATCGGTTATAGTCTCAGAGTATTTTACTTTGAGCCAATGTAGAAAAAACTACACTTGGCATGTCCCTTATAAATTCATACCACTAAAAAGCCTATCGTCTGACGTAGGTACATTCACGTGACACCAACAAAAAGGACGAGAAAGTATTTGTTTAACATAATTCAAGTTTTATTATAGAACCGGGTATCAAGCCCAAACTCTAGTTAGTTTTCCCAAGTTTTGTTCAGAACAGTGACAGGGTACTAGACAATTACACAAACACAACGGCACACGTCTCGGTGTTTCTGCAGATTTCAGCTACCTTTTAAGATGTAAACACTAATGTTATAGACTGCAAACTGATAACGTCTAACCCTGAAGTGCAGTCACACCTAAGTACCAAGTTACCGCAATAACCTTAGATTGTTAGACAATGACATACTAGTAGCGAATTTTGTTGGGATTGTGACGAAATGAATGTTTCTGTAGTTGGTCTGGAAAATACTGAACAGAATTTAGGAAAATCGACAAACATTCAGGTAAGTACTTAAGCATGAGCATTTCCATCCTTAAATAAGCGTAATTACTAGACTGCAATCAACAACAGTGAATATTATCAAGTAGTCGGAAGAATACCCTTCATGTATCTGCTGCAATCACGTGGTCAAATGTTGTCTTTTGTAATTTGCAGTCACGAGTTTGTGAGATTATGGTTGCTAAAGCACAGCTCATACTGATAGGGCATTGCGCAAACAAGTCAGATCGACCCAGGAAATCAGAAAACATGAAATACTAGGTCAATATAGTAGTCCAATAACAAACATTGTAAAAGTTAACAAGACAAAGACAATAAGGGAAAAATTACAAAGTCAACATGAGAATTGGGAGCGTCTTAGATTGAAACGAACTGCTATCCGTAATGTCACTCAAAATACAAACACAATTTGTGGAGTGTGGTGTTAACTAGCACAGCGGACAAAAAGGTGACGAAAAACTTTCGCATCAGTTCACACCGAATTTGAATGTTAAACCACTAGTGAACAATCGATGATTGATGGATATCTTTTAGACGTGATGACCCACAACACAACATACGGAGATGACGCAGAAGGGATGAATCTTAAAACAAGAGGGGGAAATTTCTACTCTCTTGTTCAACATTTCTATAAACCATAATAACTTACATTTTCATCAAATTCATACGGTGTTATTCCACAAGCAAAATCATGCTCCAAGAACTTGTCGCCTCGCGTTTGTATGTCGTATCCAACAATCATTATGTCGGCACAACTGAATGTACTCATACAACCAACATGTTCAGCATGACCATCTGTACATATAACACCTTTGATGTCCTTTTCAGGTTCGTGAATTCCCGCAGCTTTGAGGGATGATAACAACTCAGGGCCATTCCAAACAGACCCAGGGTTTACCACATAGGCACCTGCTGGACCACGAATGAGTACTGTATTACACTTTCGATATACATAGTCAGGGGATCTCGCGTAACTTCCTTCATGGAGCAAAAAAACTGAATAATCGTCCGTACCCATTTAAATGCACGTGAGAATTTTAATTATAAGATTTTCAGTCAAAATTAGGATGAACTGGCAGTGTGTGAATACAGAATCTAAATAAAAAGTAAACACAAGCAAATCACCTAGTAAGGTTGTTGAATCAATTCACATGTAGTGAAATTAGAAAACGTATGTAGTAACACGAAGTGATATATGAATTGAAAAACTGCGAGTCTGAAACTGAGAGTAGAACACTCACAAATAGAAGCAGTTTCTCAATAACCAGGTGAACCAAACACTCTCCAACTGCTATCAAAAACTCTAAGAGAACTGAAGCATCTTAGACACGAAATGTGTGATCAGGCTTCTACAAAACTACTTGCCAGTGTTTTCGCTTAATACACAATTATGCATGCCCTCATAACTTTTGAGGATATACTGGGTTTTCCTCAATACTTCACCAGACTTTGGTGGAAAACTGTGGTATTTTACGACTTAGGGTTAAACTCCCAAATTTTCACAAAATTACTTGGAACCCTGCAAAGTTTGAGTGATTTTTATGATATTGAAGCAATTTGTTGAAAGCCAGTCTTGGGGATTTCGCCGACTCTTATTCGTAGGGAAAATCCCCAGACAGGGGAAAAATTCGAGTTTTTGTCGCACTTCGACAAAATTTGCTGAGATTTTCTGATGTAGCTTCCCCAAAAAGGGGAAATTGGCCTAATTGAATTAGCACTAAATCAGAAATTGTGAATAAAGGAGAAGTCACGTTAAGAAACACTAGGTTACATGTAAGGAGCTTACCGGTTTTGACTCAAATACCCAAAATATTGAGCGACCAGACGTATGACGGAGGACAAGAAGGGAGACCGGATTGCCCGCGAGTCCACAGCTTTCGAGAAATCAGACTAACGCTTCTTTTCAATATCCAATATCTCTTTTGGCATGTTTGTTTAAAACACTCGAAGTTTTCGCGCTCGCCAGCTGTTGTTTCAGTACGGCTCTAGGTCTTTGGTAATGAATGTAAACTATCCAATATTTCGGTAACCAAGTCGTGTAAGCTTATCTGTCTCAACTAACTTCTTGTAATTACCGTATGGTTCCAGACTTTCTAGTAGATAGTCCGACCACTCAGTGGCATTATCACAAATGGATCTGACTGCCTTTCATGGGTTAGCACACCTTGAATGTAAATTAATGTGTTTGATTGATGGAATTAGCAGCTAACATGTCACTGGAAGAAAACTGGTTGGTCGCAGTGCAAAAACTGTAAAATTACAATACAGAGAATGAGGATAAACTTTTTGGACACAAACAACAAACTCGTGAAGCAGAAATATTATGACAATAAGCCAAAAGATATCAGATCACGTCGGGCTAAACATTAAAAATGCTACATGTATTCGGAGATCAATAACACATGTACACGTATCACTTTAATAATCGAAGGATACAAACCCAGTCAAATCAGAGGTCGCAAGTGAAGGGGTTCGAAGATATATTTGTAAATCCATCAGTATGTTGAGAAGCGTTTGATTTAAGCTGGCTAGTAGTTGCAAGGTATGTGTAGCAGAGAGTACCCATTCGTGGTCTAGCACGAATGCGTGACCAGGAGCGTTGATCTAAATGCAGCAGGCGAAACTGATGAATTTAGCATCGATGTAGAACACTTACGGAACCACTTATTTTGGGAATCTATTTACCGCTATGAAGTTTACTCAGACTAGTCCATAAAGTAGTGAATTTTAAGTTTTTAATTCTAGCAGAAAGTGGAGTTTTCACACATAACTTCACCTGCTATACTGTGCCTGAGGCTATTAGAGGTTTTACCGATTACTTTATTTTATGTTGATATTGTAGCTGTAAATAATGCCCCAGAATCAATAGCTTTGTAAGTGTTCGACATTGGATACTGACCACATTAGTTTTAGTGGACTCGTTTAGCTGAAGGCGCTCGGTCATGCTTCCGTACCAGATCACGTTACAGAATGGTGTGGGAAACATCTCCTTCGATCATTCGCCAGATTAGATCAGTCACTTCTCGATATGTTGATAACCCATCAAATGTATTTTCCAGCCCCCTCTCTTCTGACTTCTGATTTTAACTGGATGGGCACGATTCGATCATAGGTGTTACTGGTAAAGAGTTGTCAAACTACAATACTGGTGGTATCTTCAATATTATGCTTCGTATATTCCTGTAAAGAAAATCAGACAAATTCTGTATTCCATTCTAAAGTCAGTCCGACGAACTTCTCACTAATGGGTTCTCTATCATACAGATCGTTTATAATGTAATTATACTCTTGCGGGTTCGGAGAAACTGATGAGGTGGATGTGTGGCGTTTTTGCTGGCTGACGACTCCTTTGTATATTATTTCTAATCCCAATCTAAAATTTATATAAAATATGTGCAGTCGTGAACACACTGTTCTGTCTGACTTGAGCAGGACATTTCTGGAAATTTCTGGTTAGCGTAACTATAAACTTATCAAACAGTTGTATTACATAAATACCTGACAGGACAGGAATTCTGACACAACAATGCTCAGTTCGAACTTGGTGTGCAATATAGACGCGACTCTATTTTATGAAAACAGATTGTGAAAAAAACACTCATAGCGCAATACTAAAACAGATTCATAATCATTAACTCTCTGTAACGACCGAAAACAAATAAAGCGTCAATCATCTGGTTTGAAACTAGTCCGACCAGGGACCACGGAATATACTAGTGACTGGGGGTACGTAGTCGTTTTTACACACTGCAATATGAACGTTACTGTTTTTCATAAGAGCTATTCTATGGGTCTTAAAGCAATGGTAGACTTGTGAACTTTTAGTAGCGCATAGGAGACAAACTAAAAGAAAAGGAGAATATAATAAACATCCTGTGATCCAATAATTTTTATAAAAATACTACTGAAAACATTAAAATAAATCCATCCTTCTGTGAACCACAATCCTTATGAGAGATCTTGCATCAGTACTGTGGTTTCGCCTTACCGCGAAGGGATGACTGAAAGATTGCGAAAAAAATATTGAAAATGTACAAAAATGGAGCTTTGGTTAGAATGAAAGATAAAATTCCTTTCACTCCTACTCAAATTTGTGTCTACAGAATAGATTGTGTCAATTGTGGTGGGTCCTTTATTGGAGAGTCTCCCCGTAAGACTCGACTAGTACCAAGGAACACTTAAGTTACAAAAAGCCTCCCAACAATCCTGTGGAATTGGAAAATTCAGAGAATAAATTAACTATAGCAGTACATGTTATTTTCAATAATCACTAAAATAGTTCAGAAGACTTATCCAACTACAAAAAGAGGCGTGTAGCTGGAGCGTTCCAAATTATGTCAAACCCTCCTGTCCTTTAACAGGAAAAAAGCGCGAATATTTATCCAACTACGGCCGTTCATCCGAACAGCCACACATGATTTTATTTATTTCCACACACACCCATAATTTCATTCACACTACTTGGTTTTACAATTGCATACATTTTCTATGCCCACACTCTGATACACACATTAAAACAGTGACAGGTCCCATAAATTTGCCTTGACTAAGAATAACTAGACCTTGACATTTCAGACTGATTGTGATTTTAATTGTGCCAAAAGTATTCTGCATTATTTCCTTTGTACTAATTAAACCTGTGTCAATTTAATCCGGTTAATTATTTATCCTGAAGAAGCGGCTTATAGTTAGTCATGAAACCTCAAAAATACGATTTTCGATTCATTGTAATGCAACAGAACATACGTTTTTATTCGTGTTGCTACTTCTATTCGCCTAGCATTTATCCTGTCGTTAGCTACTGAAATCAAAAGAGTTTAAAAAGTGGTCCAACTTTTTATTACGCGACACAGAGCAAATGTAGTGCTGGACTCAACAAGTTAGAATATACAAATATTTCGCCACCCAACAAAGGGAAGTAGCAAAATATATACATACCTCGTACAAACTGTGACCTTGCCGGATGCACACCTCATCGAAAATTCAAAATCGCGTGTTAAGATTATGGTGATACTAAGTATTTATCCAATGCAACTTTGTAACAAACTTTTAGCTGTTTTAAAGTAACCGACGGAAGGCGCTTTAAATGAACTGTGACCTTAAAAAATGCGTACGCTAGGTTTGTTTACAATGGCATGAAAAAGCCCGGTAGTTATGCACTGTGAAAGCGATGCTGAAAAAGAGAAACAACGGGGAAGAAAGACATTTAGATATAAAACCTCAACAGTGACTAACCATTTGTAGTGAAACAATCAAATGTATCGTAAATCGGCAGGCAAGATTCATACTAGATACTGTTATGAGAATGAATGTTAGCTAAGAAGTTTTCAGATTACAGAATACAGAAATAATGAACAATAGGTTAAGGTGCGCAACAAGGTGAGGTGGGTTAGAATATTTGAAAGTCGTATCTAGAACCAGGAAGTCCACTCATAAAAACCGAATGTGCATCAGAAGAGAATATAGCGTTTAGAAACCTTAATAACCTTTCCTTTTATTATTATCTGGTCATTATTCTTTTTCATCAAATGCCAGCGAGTAGATTGTGACGTGAAAGCTTAGGTTGGTATGTTATGGGTTTTCTTAAGAGGATAAGGAAGACCGCATTAAATTGAAGACGTGAGTGTGAGTGACAAGCGTAAAAGGACAACCATGGTATAACTGATTGATCGAACAACCTAATCAAGCCCCTTCTAGATTCGCGGAGATGGTCAGGATGTTGATTCAGTAACTTATGTGATAACAAAGTGGGAATTTAGAGACTGCTTCTCAGACTATGATTTTTACTGTAGTGTGACACTGACGTATTCAGCAGGTTTGTCTAACGGTCGATGAGTTAGGATTTTCATACTTCTGTAAAATCTGCGAGGGTGTATGATAACCGTAATTTTCAGTCAGCTAGATCACTACCTATGTGAAAATTCTGTTAGGTTTATGAAACCTCAAATGAATCCATTCTATAGAACCCATATCACATTTAGAAATCCGGGACTTCTGAAAAAACCGGTAGCATTATAC